TAGACCAAGTTATTTCCAAAAGACTATTTTTGCTCTAAATGACCTGATTGTTATTTTGCCACACACAAAAAAAATTCTGCAAATTCTTGTCAAATTTCGCCGCCCTCGGCTACAACATTATGACAAATACCTCCCATATACGGAAATTACGTAATATTATTAATACATCCTATAATTGTCTCAACAGAAAGCAGGCTTAGTGAGCCAGTAAGAGGTACTCATATCACATATACTGTTACAGAAAACTGTAGATAAGATGTAGATGTATATTTAACAAAAAAAACTGATAATATTTTTTTTGCCTTGCCCTCTTGTAAATTTCGCCGCTAGGGTCCTTCCTAATTAGTTAAGCGAGTCCGTGACACGTTACTGTCACAGCTTGTCGAGTTTATCTTTCGTCTACCTTAAGACAGTTGAGTGTTGTGAGTTAATATCATGTGACAGCTCTAAACCTTCATGTGATGTACTGTAGTAACTATACTAACTGTAGTACTCATACTAGTACTTTTTAAGTTAAACAAGGTTGTTATATAGTATTAAAATGATTTGGTATATAAATAAGTAAAGTAAATGAGGTTTAAAAACTCAAACTTAGTATTTAATTAGAGAATATGCTTAGTAATACTGTATACTTGTATATAGTGATACACAAGGTCAGGTCAGGTCGGGTCAGGAGGGTTTTTAGTCTGACCCATGACCTGACCCAGGTCAGAATTTTCCAAAAATCCTGACCTGTGACCTGACCTTGTCTGACCCAGCTGGGTCAGGTCAAAGTGGGTCAGGTCAGGTCAGGTCAGGGGTCAACCTGGGTCAATGTGTACTTATACTAGTCTCTTGCTACAGATTTTCTTATGCAGCCCTTGTTGTAGACAGAGACTATTACTATCTGAGTTAATAGGTTTGTTAATAAGCTCAGTTATTGTAGGATAAAACTCTGTCTGTTAAAGTAATCCAAATTTACACTTGAAACACTTACAGTTAATCATTAAGGTACAGTTATGGAATGTATACTTGAGTAGTCAACAATTGTTATGCTTGCATTACAAACTGTGTTTGATACAGATGAAGGAGGAAAGTAGCCATGCTTTGTTTGAGCTGAAGATAAGAACAGATTATACATACTACATAGTGTGTAATATTAATCTTAAGTCTGTCCAGACAGACAAACCTTGTACATTTTCCAAACAATTGGATACATACTACTCCTGGGTAGAGTGGCTGAGAAGCTAAGACCACTTGTCTGTGTCCTAGTCAGTAGATGCATTCTTGCTGTCATTCACATAAACCATACATTCCTTGTCCTTACTCTCTGGATCTATGTCTGGATTGTATTCCTGTCTGTTTATCTCAAACCATCTTGGCTTTGTCCCCTTCAGCAGTCCTATAGCCTCTTGTACAGTGTCTATGTGAGCCTGTGGATATTTGCTTTCATCCACTTTGTGCATTCAAACGTCATGGACAAAGCCAACAATCATGGCAGGTTGACCACAGTATTTTGCTGGACACATGAAGAAAAAGATCTCAGTCTTCAATAGTACCTGGTCCATTATCTTAAAGAGGATGATTCTGGCATTCCTATCCTAGTCAAGATTTCTCCTCTCTGCAAACAGCTGCATATACTTGTTCTTGAGCCAGTACCCATACATCCAGTAGCACATAAAGATGCTATCTGGTTTTTCAGTTGCATCTGCAAGTAGAATAAGGCATACATATTTTAGGCACTTTAAGCCAAACAGTAAAGAAAGGCTATGTAAGAGGAGAAAGACCAGTCAAGTAGTATACATAAAAAGATTAATCAGAATCAGAACTGCTTGAAGAAAATATGGCCAAGACATCTGCCTCCTCAAATTTCTGACCAGCCTGGCAATGTACAATCATTTGGTGGTAGTCATGCACCATCTGGAACAAAGTAAAAATATTTGAAGTTGTCCTGTTCTGCCGCTTTGTATCTGCAATCCCTGCCATTGAAAAGAGCTGCTTGCATGGAACTGATGATGCTTGAATAGGCAAATAGTCTCTTGCAATCCAGGAAAGGGTAGGGAACCTGAATTCATTCTCCTAGTAAAACATTAGATACTTTATTACAAAATAAGAATAATAGAATACCTTCCACCAGAGTAATAGATCCAAACCCTTGTTAGGGTCTATATCTTCAACATCATTAGTGTACCTTGTAAGTTCTTCATGAGGATCCTTTGGCTTGTCTCCAAATTGTCTTCTTATTGCTAGAGCTGCTGCTTGCATCCGCTTGTGTCCATAGGGGAGTGAAGCTGACTTCTCTAAGGGTTTATGAGAAGTGCTAGAACCAATCTCAGGCTGGGATGACTGTACAGGGATTGGCCTAGAGTGTATGTTGTACTTCTCAAACTATAGATACATTAGATATTAAATAATTAGAGAAAAAATAAAGACTCACAACAGTATTAATAACTTTGAAAGCAGTCTCCTGACCCTTTTCAGACCAAAACTCCTTAAAGTAGTGCCCTTTTGTAAGGGGATTCAAAAC